CTTCCTGCCTGCATTTAAAAAAAAAAAAATCTAAATTTAAACTGCAGCTATTATCTTTTTTTTTCTCCTTCCTGCACAAATGAGGTCGAGCGCCTTGTCCTGGAGGACGACCGAAATGAAAATGGCTTGAGCGAAAGAAGTCGGCGAGCGTGCGTAGCTTCACTTCCTGCTATCTTTTGACCCTGTCAGGAACTATCAGCACTCCATGGGCGATGAAACCTCGGGCTCTTCAGCCCTGACGTCACCCCCCCCCCCAAAAAAAAAGTCTTAAAATAGCGTCCTCGTTACGCTCTTGAAAAGAAAATCTGATTTAACGATGTCATGTTCAGGAATTGCCACAGAATGAGGCGCTTGCTAGCTTAGCCGATGCGCTAGCACCGGCCGTGATGTCACGTCTGCGCCGCTTTAGCTTCGTTTCGTTTGCGAGTGCACACGTGGACGCCGTCCTGTACTTTAGCTCCGATGTTGTGGCAGTGCGTCAAAAATGAGATCATGAGTGAGACTTTGTCGTCACTTCTGTCAATATTTGACGAAAAACATGACTCTTGTGTTTGTGTTCCTAACAAGCTTCCCCGTCACGAGACAAAATGACACCCGAGGGCCTCTGTGGAGGAAAAAGCCTCCCAGCCTCGACCCGCGCGGCCCAAATTTGAGACAATGTCGCGAATCGGAACGAAAATAGGCCCCAACGGCCGACCTTTACGTCCCTGATGCTTTCATCATTAATAGCCGGGAAGCTGCCCCCCACCCCCACATGGCGCCGGGAACCCCCCTCGGCAACCTGTAAAACCAACACGGCGCCTGATCACCGTCTGGAAGTGTGCGTTGCCCATCTGTGCTTGCATGCACACTTTTAAAGAAGGAAGGATTTCTTTGTTAACTGATCCTGAGGGGGAAGCGTCACTTTTATTAATGCCTATAAAGAAGTTTGAGAGTTCACGAGCAGCTTCCTGATCTGAGCGTTAATCCGATCTTGTGCGCAGCGCCCCGAGGAGATGTTAACACCTAAAGGCAGTTGCTATAAAACTTTTTCCACCAAAGTTCCACCCCAAAAATGTACTTAGCTGTATTTCTAAGCCACTTTAACATAATGCACAGTTTGAGTGATTCTGTTGCTGACCAGTAGAGGGAGCCCCCACACTTTTGAGAACAACTTAAGGAAAATGAAAGGGCGTACTTCAATTTATTTTTTTTTTTCCGATGTGCTGTATCAGCGCTTTCGGCTGACTCTGCTGCCGTGTCCCTTCCCCTGTCCTAGACGTTGTCCTCGGCGGTGGTCCAGGTCTTCCTGGCAGACCGGAACGCCACCTGGTCCAAGAGATGTTGCGGCGTGGCCTGTCTGATCAAGGACAACCCGCAGCGGTCTTACTTCATCCGAGTCTTTGACATCAAGGTAACGCGGCATCGCGACGCGGTCGACCAGTGCGCATCCGCTCGGACCCACATCCGCGACCTCTCATGTGTTTTTTTTTTTTTTTGGTTTTGTTTTGTTTTTTTGTCACAGGACGGTAAGATGCTGTTCGAACAGGAGCTGTACAACAACTTTAGCATAAATCCCTCCAGACCATTCTTCATCTCGTTTGCTGGAGACGTGAGTTGACAGTTTTTTTGTTTTTTTTTTTCCTTTCTGCGTTTGCATCTTACTGACAAAAATGCAACGACAAAAACCTGGTTTTGTGTCTTAGTTAGAAATGGAGTCGTATGTATCGGTTCTATAGAGGGTCGCCCAAAATCACGATAAATGTTCAGATGTGAGGCCATCGCCATTTGAGAGCTTACGCTTGGCAGTTTTTGCCTCACATCGTCCAAATAATACCCGAAAAAAAAATACAAAAATCCTGTAGTCAAAAAAAAAGAAAAAAGCCTGAGATGATTGTGAAAGGTCTGAAGCGAAGACCCCCCCCCCCCCCCGCAGACTTTCTTTTTTTATTTTTTATCTATGATTTGTGTTGGTGGATGCAGCAGACCATGAGGTATGCGGCACAGTAAATTGTGGTGATAAGAGACTCATCACTGTGTACACATCGGCAAAATCATTTTCGTACAAAGAATACACTCATTGACCTGTGTGTGATTTAAAATGATTTTTTTTTTTTTTTTTTTTTTTTTTTTTTTGTGCTCATTCTAACGCCCCCCTTCCCCTAATTCTGCAGTCGAGCCAAGTGGGCCTGAACTTTGCCAGCGAGGAGGAGGCCAAGCGTTTCCGAGGTCACCTGTCAGAGCTGTTGGGCAAAAGGCAAAGGAAAACTGGTACTGATCTTCCTTTTGTTGCCACCGCCGATGTTGACGTCGAAACGTGTCGTCGGAATCGACGCAATGATCACCATCTTCAGTCTGCTAAAATGGACATCTTGTATTTTACGCATACGGCGCCGAGTTGGAAAACAGTGAAAGTGGCAAATTGTAATGCCGTGTCCGTCCCGAGGGGGGCACTATAGACCAAATGCAACCGCAAGCGTTGTCATCGAATGAAAATGGTGGTTCTGTTATTCTCTTTTAAACCGCCCTGACAATAACAAGTACATCTTTCATGAAACATGACGAGAATTTTGTTTTTTATTTTTTTGTTTGGCAACTTCATTGCTCAGGTTTGATGAACGATGTCTTTCTTTTAAACCTTCAGCCGGTTCCTCCGCTTTCCTCTTCAAGCTTTCTGCCTCGGGTGCGCACACTTTGCTCACGAGGCCCCCCCCCTCCACCCCCACCCTCTGTTGAGAACTCGCACTGGAATCCTTTCATCCAGTTCTCTGGACTTTTCCCACACTTTCCATCGGACGTGTCGCTGTGATCACAACCGTGCGCTTCACTAACTCTCCCGACCGACTTCGCCAAGCCTTTCGCTTTCGCAAGCTCCCCTTCTTGTCCGCCCGCCTCTCGCCCGGGCGGCACTTAGCGCAGCGTTTATAACCGTTTCGTTTTGTCTGTGTTCACAGAGAAGAGACGCGAGCCTCCAAATGGTACGTTGTCCACCATTTCCTGTCCTTGCATTTATTTTTGTCCCTCGCCGCTGTAATTATCATCTTGCCCATCCCTTGACGTTCTCCTGACCTTTGTCGCGTTTTCATAAGCGGGGGGGGGGGTTTAATCCGAGATTAGGCACGCAGGAGGGAGTTATGTAAAACCGGGCGCTAAATCCTCGAATAATATGGCGGGATTAGAGCCGCCGAGCGTGTGCGGTTTGACGGGACAGGGAGGGGGAAAACCGGTGAAAGTGGGCGGAGCAAGGGCAGCGCACCAGCCAATCCGAGCGCGGTGATCTTAGCAGTGTGTCCTGCTGCGATGGAAAATTGGTTGGAAAAGGCGCCCAGATGCGCGCAAGGAGTAGAGCTGGCCTGATGCGGGGCTCGTCCAAACAAGTGTTGGAAGGATGCGCGTCCCAGTCCACTCTTGCAGATGTCCGATGAGGGTATTAAGGTCGAAATCCAAGTTGGGTTCCTACGCCGGCGCGCTTTGGCTCTTGGTCTTTTGAAAACCTTTTTTAGAACCTTTCTTGACCCCGAGACAGCGGGAATTTCTTTTCTCCGGAGGCGGTCCTCACCTGGATACGATGCGTCCGCCAGAAGCCATTCCTCATTTCCGTCTTGAGTAAACGCCGTTTCCTCCAGGATCCCCTTCGCAGACATGATGTTCTGCACCACCTTCCTGTCGGCTCCCTCGGACGAGCGCGTTTGTGAAAGAGGCGGCGGGGGCTTGGGCCCGGCGGGCTGCTTGTCCACCTTGCACTGCTTGGTCCTCCCCCAGGACGAACTGTACCCGAATTTCGCCGAGCCCTCCGCCGCACAAGTGCGAGCTCGCGGCTTTATCGGCGACGCGCTGCCGGACGTCGGGGCGGGCGCGTGCCGCGACGGGGACGGCGGGGGGATTTGGGACAGGGTGAGGAGGAGACGCAGTCGCTCCGTTTCGCCTTTACCGAGCAAAACGCCCAAAAGTCCTTGTAGTGACAAAGGTATGTGGCGCGCAGGCCTTCCACTTTGGCGTCGAGCTGATCCGGTTTGTCGAAACTTGCCATAGATAGCCAAACGCCGCTCTAAAGTCAACTGGCAAGCCACGGACGGGCAAGGGAATTGACCCGCTCCCCCACCCAAAAAAAAATAAACTAACGCCGCTTCTCAATGTCGTCTTCAGGCCCGGCACTGCCCATGGCCACCGTGGACATCAAAAACCCCGAGATCAGCACGGGCCACCGTTTTCACAGCAACTCTCAGATGAACAACATCATGCACTCCACGTTCAGGAAGGAGAAGAAGAACAAAGGCAAGAAGAAGCGGCTGACCAAGGCCGACATCGGCACGCCGAGCAACTTCCAGTGAGTGGCCGGCCTCGGTTTGTCGGATTGAATTTGACACTGCGCGACGAGGCCGACGTCAAGCGAAGGTCAAACGCGCCGTGCTTTTGTTGACTCGCGCCTCTCTGCTTTGGCACAGGCACATCGGGCACGTAGGATGGGATCCAAACACAGGCTTTGACGTAAGTGAAGTGAAGCATCGGCTCCAAAAATATTAATCTCCGCCATCATGTGGCCAGTGTGGTTACACAAGAAGATTTTGTGAGGGGAGCGCAACCTGTGCTTGCATCATCCTTGGACTTGTTCCCAAAAAGCACCCCCCGCCCATTGTATGAGGTTACGCAAGGCCAGGCTGAATTCAGAAGTCACCGCTTTAATGGCCTTGAAAATGGAATGGATGATGTCATTCAAGTGAATTGTTCCCATCTTCTGCTTTCAATAAGTGGATTGGCCCTGTAGTAATATTTATATGGATCGTAGGCTACAATTATGACCACTAGATGGCGGCAGCGAACTTCAAACCAAGCGGCAGGAAGTGAGCCGTCCTTCCCAAAAAAAAAAAAAAGAGCCCAATTAGAAGTTTAATGTGAAACTGACATGGATTGAATCAAAGTGCAGAAGCTCTGAAAGTATTTTAGCTTCATGCTAACATACAATGCAAAACGCCATTAGACAGGCCCACGAAACTAGCGTCACAATCAACCCAACACTCGTTCTGCTTCGTCCGCACAGTTGAACAACTTGGATCCCGAGCTGAAGAACCTCTTTGACATGTGCGGCATCTCCGAGGCGCAGCTGAAGGACAAAGAGACCTCCAAGGTCATCTATGACTTCATCGAGAAGAAGGGAGGCGTGGAAGCGGTCAAAAATGAGCTGCGGCGACAAGGTGAGCCAGAGGATACTGAAAACGATACACGAGACAAATATCGGCGCAGGGTTTGTCATGAAAAGCTGTGGCAAAAAAAAATTGAATAGCACAAATGTAAAAGCAGACATCTCCTTTTTGGGGGGGGGTGAATAGAGTGCAATTATTTCTGGTTCAGCTCACAACAAGCAATTTTTTTCCCAAGAGGTCGTTTGTCACGTAATGGCAAATCCAAGATAATCCGTTTGGTTCAAAAACAGACAAGTCAAAAAATTTCACACAGAGATGCAATTACACCTAAAATGGTTTTAAGTGCTCCACTTTGTGAAGTGGTTGCTGGTTTTCCCGTCGGCCTGAAAAAACCCACACAAAGCGTTCGTCCCCTCCAGTCGTACCTCCAAAACCAAGATGTTCCCTTTGACAACAGGCATGTATCGTCGTCGAGCCGACTGTGAGAACTGGGCGAGAATATCGGAAAGACCGTATTAAGTAGGCTTTGGGCGAGGAGTGGGTCCACGCAAGCACGTATCGAGAAGCAAGCATTCACGCCGACATCTGTTGACAATTTGGAGTCTTCAATGAAACAAACATGGAACTGTAAATGCCTCACTTTGCTCGTTTCCACCTCAGGGGGAGGGGGGGAAGGAAGCGGCAGTAAATCAGGCCAAAATCCACGTCAGTGGGTTTGTTTGTTTTTTTTTTCCTGTTTGTTTTTTCCTCCGGAAGCTAGACCACCCGTATAAAAGCCACCTATCTAATAAATGGCTCCAATAAAACGTTTGTTTCCTCTCTGCAGCTCCCCCGCCCCCTCCATCCAGAGGGGGCCCTCCTCCCCCT